CATGCTATACTTTGAGCAAGGTCGTATTTACCGAGAGAGATTCACCAGAGATCAAACCACCGTCTCATGGCGAAGTGAAGAGCTACCAACACACATCTTCGTAGCGTTCCAAGATGCAGAGCGCTCAGAAAATCAAGAACAAACCATATATGTGTTAGATAATGCTAATTTCCGTCGGATTCATGTGCGGATGAATAAGAATCACAAGTATCCTGAAGAAGAGCTTGAAGTCAATTACACAGCTGCTGAAAGAAATTACAGCAGAGCTTACATGATGTTCCAAGACGCTGCGATGAAATACAGCGACCCAGATACAGGCTCTCAAGTAAACTTAGGAGGCTTCGCAAACTTCTTTCCTATTTACCACTTTGACGTTAGTCTTCATCCTGAAGCTTTGAAAAAAGCTCCGGCAAACATTGATGTTCGTTGGATCTTAGGTGGCCCTTTTAATAGTGCTATTAATGCTGGTGGTGAACAGGCGTACCACGTGTACTGCTTCGTGCTTAGCGAGCGTTTCCTTCGGCTCAATGCGATTAACGGTAAAGTGGACATAATGGTTTAGTCTCTTAGTCTGATGTGATGATTACTCTGATGTGATATGCTACGTTTAATCCGATTACTTTGCACCAGAATTAAATAGAAATTGAAAAAAATAAAATTTTTTCGACTGTTTATATACGCAAATTGTTTTGCATGTGCACAAAAATGTCGGACATTGATAACGCTATATTGGTTAAAGCTCTCAGACCCGCCATGGAGCGAGTAATCACTCAGGAGTTTAAAGGCGCTGGTATTTATCTTCCTGGGTCAAGAAGTATAGAAGGTGGTAGCTTTATTGGAAATCTTGTTGGAAAACTGAATATCTACGGTTATTAAACTCATACCAAAAGTGTTACCGTCTCTAGGCCTAGCAGCTATATCAGGTGCTATCACCGGCAGCACGCAAAAAGCAGTTGCTGGTAGTGGTATAGTTAGAAGAAGAGGTATCACACCATTTAATGGACCTGAGTATAATAACAGTCTTTTTGTTTTCGGTACTAGCTCTGGTAAGAAAGGTCATTCTTGATACACAGTTCACGGTGTTAAACTTTCAAAAGATCAGAAAACTACCTTGGCAAAAGCAGTTAGAGACGAAAGAGGAGTAACTTTGCGAATTGCCAATAGTGCTCTTAAGGTCCTGATATGCTTATGCTTACTAATACACAGATCAAGCGAATAATGGGTGCAAGATCCAAAGGATCTGGAATCGATCTAAAATTGTCTAAGAGTCAGATTACAGCCATGACGAGCGCGCAAAAAGGTGGATTCCTTGGTTCTTTGCTTACAAGTGTAGCTGCTCCCATCGTAGCGCCCGTCCTAGGAAAAACCCTTCGATTAGGAACGTCGGGGGAAGGAGTATTCCTTCCCGGGACGCGGTGACGCGGAAGAGGAAGTGGAAGCCGCTATCAAACAAAGATATCAATCGTATAGTAAGTGGTAATCTAAAAGCAGTAGCTAAAGGTTTTAGGGGGGTGTTTTCAAAAGACATGCTTCCTAAAGAGCCTCTTTAAGCTGAAGAAAGTGTTATAATCAACTTACAAGACTTTCTCGATGGAGGTGGGACTCACTGGATTTGCGCCTTTGCTGATGAGTTCTGCGTAGATTACTTTGACAGCTTCGGCCTTCCACCATCTGTCGTAGTTAAAAGTGAATGGAACGGTCAAAACTTGTTGTTTGCTATTCTTGCAACTAGATACAAGATCGGGGCTCTATTATGTGTGGATGGTACTGCCTTCTCTTCTTACAAGATCGGGTTCACAATCGGTCTGCGCCAGATATTCTGTTCGATTTCGATTCGCGCCCTTCTGCGCATATCGAGCGTATTGTAAAACGGTTTGCTAGAGAAACTCTAAGAGCGCGCTAATAATTAACATCGCGAGGCATTTTTCACATCAGAATAAATTTTTGTGCATTATATAGAGATGGCCATCGCTTACTGTTTGTACTGTAAGAAACAACAACTTGTTGTCAAAGGGAAAATCGAATATACAAAAAACCAACCTAGGCTCACGGGGCGCTACCGAGTCTGTGACAGAGGCGTCTCCTAGTTTCTTTCTAAAAGTGAACTTCTGGATAAAAAAGGAGGAAGAATAAGAGGTTTGAATAGTGCGCTTCCATTCGGTATTAATACTATTGATTTGGCAATCAAAGCCGCGGATAAAATTGATAAAATCAGAAAAGCTTGGTGAACATAACACATCAAACTAAAACATAGTCAAGTGAAAATGACGGTCGCGTTTTGTATGCGTTGCAAAAGACTGCAACCAGTTATAAGTGGTATAGTTGTAAATCATAACGGCAACCCCAGACTTGCAGGGCGCTGTGGTGTATGTGGTAGTGCTGTTTCTAGGTTTCTTTCCCAAAGAATCTCGTCGTAATGGAGGAAAAATAATCGTTTCTACGGACGGAAGCGTTGAAGAACGCCTCGCAGAGGCGTACTACAGTCCTGCGGGGTACTGGCGCGGCATTGCTGCTATCCCAAAGCTGGCAAAAGAAGCTGGCGTCGGCGAGGATGAGGCTCATGAATGGCTAACAGGCCATCTGGCAGATCTACTTTCCGCACCAGCGCGAAGTGCTATCCCCCGACCTAAGTTTGACATCAGCACCCTGAATAAGCTACACCAGGCCGATCTCTTGTATCTGCCTCACGATCAAGTCGGAAGACGCACATTCAAATACGCATTGACGGTCGTCTACGTAGCAAGTCGGTATAAGGAGGCCCAGGCAATCACAGACAAGACAGCGACTCAGGTTGGGAAGGCGTTAGAGTCTATTTATGCCCGTGGGCCTCTTCGAAGGCCTAAAGTTTTACAAGTCGAACCTGGTTCGGAGTTTCGCGGGGCTGTGCAAAAAGCGTGTGATAAAAATGGTGTCTTGATTCGACAGGGTAAGGTTGGGGTTCATAGAGATCAGGGGATCGTAGAAAGATTCAACCGAATTTTGGCGGAGCGATTGTTCGGTTACCAGTATCATTGCGAGCTGGCTGAGCCCGGAACTCGGAACAAAGAATGGGTATCAAGATTAACTGAGGTGGTTAAAGCGCTCAATAATGAAACTACCCGTTTGACGGATGAAAAGCCCTCCCTTGCGATTCGGAAGAAGAGCTTTAAGGCCAAACCCGCTGCGCTGGCGCTTTGTCCAGTTGGTTTCAAAGAGCGACGCTTGCCATCGGATGTTATGGTGCGGTATTTGTATGCGCCTGGCGAACTTGAGGGTGGCGAACGGCGTAGGGCGACCTATCCTGTATGGAGTGTGACCTCCCATCAGGTCGAGTGGGCTGTGTCTGAGGGTGGGAAGCCTGTGTTGTATTATTTGAGCGATGGGCCGAAGATATGCTGACGCGATTGTACGCGAGGAGCTCCAAGTGGTGCCCTTTGGGACCAAAACACCACCGGCTTAGTCGATGGGGTCCTGTCACGCTTTTTATGAAAGCTTTCACTACCATATACCACCTTACGCTTAGCCGTGGGGCAGCTCTTCTACTGTAATTATCACATCAGAACTAATTATCAGCATAATTACGCATTTATTATTTATTCGCCTGCGGCACCGGCTTTCCTATGCCCGCATGCTAGGGTGGAGATCCCATTGGCCTCGATTCAGCGCTTCGTGTCCAGCGGGCTCAGCGATGTCTTGTTGACATGCTCGCCGAAGATCTGATGCCCGTGACTGCGCAGCATATCCATACCGTGGCGGAAGCGCTTTGCTTTAAATAGCGCCTCTTTGTACTGGGCATGACTGATATGCTTTTTCATGACGGCCTTTTCAACATCTTTGGCTTCGCATTCCTCCAGACCGTTGGCTTTCATGATAAAGTACATCTTGGTCCTGAGCCCCACAAACTCAGCGATAGGCGCCCCAGCGCACTCGTCCATCAATTTACCCAGCACTTTCTTGTTAGCTGTGCTGAACAGCGGATGGTCATTGGGGTAGTTGCTGGTGTCGTATTGACCGGCGTTGTGTCTCATGTTGGCGTACACGTGCTCAGTCTGTATTTCCAGCACAAAGCTGTCCTTGTCGGTGTCGGTGTAGAGTAGCTCTGCTGACGACCTGTACTGCACCTTGAGATGGTTGTATTAACAGACCTACATCAGATGCTTGGAGAGGTCGAGAATGCTCGTGCCCACGAAGACAGGCCGGTTAAGCAGCAGACTGCTTTTATTCATATGAACGGTTGCGAGGTCTCCCGCATCGCCAAAGATAAGAGGCCGATTGTATGTCGGCTTGGCGATAAGTTTGCGGAGTCTCTCGGTCTCGCTTGGCCGGAGAAGCTTCACATCGACACGCTTTTCGAGGTTCTCCATTGTCTTGCCAAAGACGCTGTTGTTCAGCAGCTTGTAGAGGTTGACTTCAAAGTAGGCCCGGGCTTGTGTAATAGTGGGCCGGTTCTAGCCGGTATCGCTCGAGGCACTGCTTTCGGAAGTTCTCGGAGACGTCAGCGAGGAGGAGGACATCGGTTCGAAGGTAGAGGTCATGGTATTCGCCTAGGGTTGTGCTGCCGAAGGCGTCCCAGACCCTTTTTCTGTGGGCGTAGTCACCGTCGGTGATGCCTTCACGGGAGAGCTTGTTGTAGAAAGCCTCCTTTGGCAGGAGGGCCTTCTCGTCGAATCGGAGCCAGCTGTCCATGTACTCGTAGGTTAGACCCCCTTCCGGAGCAAGAGGGTACGCCTCTGGAGGTTCGGCTCGTAGTCTGCTGTGATGCGCATGTCTTGCGGGTCGCTGGCTTTCACCAGGCCATCCAGGCTTGAGAGCATGAACTGGGCGCTGTCAATGAATCTGAGCTGGCCGATGCTGAACGAGATGTATTTCTCGGCGTTGTTGGGGATGCAGGTGACCTTCCCTTCAGTCTCTGCGATAGTCTGCATGATGAGATGGCTGTTGTAGCCCCGCAGGTTGTGAAAGACAAACGTTATGGTTGTCGTCTTCGGGCTGAGCCGCAACTTCAAGTTGCACTCATTGTAGGCCGCACCTCGGTACTTGCCAGTAATGTGGCAGTGGTCTCGCACGGAATTGCCTTCGAGGGTTTGCTGCATACGTGGCAATTTGTGGCTTTCTTGTGGCTCCCCCAGTCCTTTCCTTTCATGTGCATAGTCTCGGGGTTAGCTAACACCGTCTTTATCTTGAGCTCTTCTTCTTAAAGCGCTTCCAGGAAATGCTTGGACTCGTCGGGCCCTCGGTAGAACAAACGACTATGAATGTGTAGCCGCATGTCTCGTGTCTGGAAGTTTGCTGGGTGCCGCTTTTTGGGGGTTAAGCGCGGGGCCCTCCGTCTTACGAACCAGGCTCTCGAAGTCTGCGTAGATTATGAAGGGCGCTTTGAGCTGCTTGTGGTAGTTCTCAAAGCGGATTTTGTCATTTGTTCCTGGGGTTGGCATTCTGATGGCAACCACCGACTGGTTGATGCCTCGAAATTCAGGCTTATGCTCTTCCAACAAATCCTGCCTGGCGACGCCGTGAAGGCAACGCTCACAGAAGTGCAGCTGATGGTGGCCACTCTGGTTGAGAAAGCGCTTGAAGTTCTTGATCCAAGTTTAGTGGTGTTTCCCAGGATTTTTCGAATCCGAGACGAGTAAGAGATTTACAGTCTTGCGAGCTCTTTCTACTTTGCTTAGACGGCAAGGAACGACGCCGCCTTCCCACCCGTACACGTTGATAGCAAGGTCGTTCTCACGCTCTATTCGTTCGAGGTGAGAGAGTGGTGTGGGTGCGCTCACTTCCGCAAAGTCAAGGCCGTCTTCAGTGGGATACTTGCCCGGCCGTTGCGGGTCTTTAGCTGCAGGAAACAGCGCAGCCCTTAGAGATCAGCGGGAGGCAGTCGTCCTCTTTGCTTTTCACGTTGACGATTGCCCTCTTATTCTAGACCGCGGTAGGGAGAGTAAGGTATGAGCCTCCACGTAAAGGCTGATAGAGAGCGATGTCAAGCCAGAGTGTTTTGACACGACCCACTATCCACACAGACCCTTCCGGAGTGAACTTTTCTAATCTCTCCAGGATTGTTGGGAAGGCTTCATGTAGGGCTTGTTGAATCTCATGCGCTTGTAGCAGCCTGATCCGCTTTGCTCGGAACACTGGTGCTTGAAGCACTTCAGTACCATTTGCTTCATCGTTCCGAAACTCAACCTCTACAGCCAACTGGAACTTAACTTCTCGTAGAGTTAATAGCTCCTAAACGAGTTTGCGTTTGATGCAGGGTTGGGCGTGTTTGAAAATAGCCATCAAGTTGCGATCGGAGGGGTGCCCCTTCGGCACCTTCATTTTCCAGGCTCTCAGATGATGGCTGAAGGCCTTCGTTTCATCCCACTTAAGTTCCGTATGTGGTGGAGGAGTAGCCCTTGTGGAGCGTCGTGGTTTAAATTCAGCCAGAGGTACATTGATGTACGCGTTCATCTCATCATCAGTAGGCTCGGCGGGCCTGCGCTTGCGCGGTTTTGGGATAGGCATGCGCTTTCGCGGTTTTGGGATAGGCGGAGGGACATTTTTTGTGTGGGTGTCGGGTCAGCGGGCGGTTGAAGAGACTTAAGAGAGGCGTTCAGCGCGTGTCCGCTGATTACACCTTGGTCATATAGTTGCAGAAGTTTCTCGACAGTATTCATCTCAAGTGTCGCAAATTTTAGTGCTATATCTTACGCGAGATAATTCTCTAAATCGAAATTAATTCGGCGAGTACTCTAGCAAATCTCTTTCTTGATTGTTTCTGTTTATAAATGAGCTTATGATGCACCCTATCGATACCGCAGGCTTGACAAAGGATAGTTTCTGCCTGTGTTCCGACGCCACACTTACGACATGGTTGTGGAAGTCGCCCTCTTTCCCTTAACCGCTTCATATGAAGTCCACAGTATTCACCTATGGAGCTTCGCCCACATGTGGTGAGTTTTCCGGGTAGAAACCACGCACACTTGTTTTTGCCCTGCCTCACGGCTGTCGAACGTTTGGATTACTCTATGAGAGTATATCTCTCTAAATAATAGACCCCGACGACCGGTCGCGCAGGCGCGGGGTGGTGGGCCGGACGTCTTTGGCTCCTGCCGTTGTCCTGGGTTTGACCTTCGCTGTAATTATGCTAGCATAATTACAAGAAGTACGTAAGCGAGCTAGGGCTGGGGCGTTTAGATTTGTGTATACTCCTTCTCAAACTGTGAGGTGCGCTAGAAACGACGCTTTCTCAAGGTGAAGTGCGCCAGCGGCAACGCTCTGTATACTACTGTAACAGCAAAACTGGACTTCGAACAGCAATCGAGTTACGTTTTGTAGGATAATCGGATTACATTAGGCAAATCTAAACGGCGTAATAATACGATGATTTATAAAATCTGTCGCTTAAATACGAATTTCGAGTACGTTAACAAGTGCATTTCATGTGTTTTTTTTAGTGTTTTTGCTTAAAAAATAGACTCAATAAACTGAATAAACTAAGAAAATATATGTTTAATGTCTGAATTTCAAGATTTTTTGTCGAATTCTGACCGTTTCCAGTGCCACATTGGATACCTCATGGATCCGCCCTTGTATAATTCGTATTTACCGACTGGGAGGTCCGTATACGGAAAAAATATTTTCACAAGGTCTGCAACTTAACATTGTGACTAAAATTGGATGCTTTTCAGCAAAATTCGCTTTGTCTGGACAGTAAAATGGATTCTTGCAACGACATCTTTCATCTGAAAACACCTGGCTTACTCGTTAAACAATTTACATCGCTTTCAAATCAATTTTATAAAATTTTCATTTCTTTTCGTAAACAGGTATATTGAAAAAAATATGTTAAGACTAAAAGTGGATTTTCTACAAACTTTGCTTCGTCTGGATAGTAAAATTCACTCTGACTATGATAAATATCATCTTAAGACATTCTGCCTACTCGTTCAACAAGTTACTTTTAAATCATATTTAAAAATTTACATTTCAATTTGCAAGCAAAAACATTGCAAAAAAATATCATTTGTGCTTAATGGCAGATATGCGTGAAAAGCTGCCCGCCCACGCAGCCAATCAAATTGCTGGAAATCAAAAAATATCGCTTTGGACAGCTAAATCAAAATAAATGTATATTATTTACCGGAGCCTTTAAGACCTTGTGAAAATATTTTTTCCGTGAAGACCGACCTAAACGGTAAATAACATATTTTTTTTATTTTTATTATAAAGAAATTTGCATTGTAAAATAGCCGACACAGCTTGACATTGAAAAAAAATTGGATTTTTTCTTACAAATTTTACTTCTTAAGTACAGTAAAATACACTCTTGCTATGACAACTTTCATCTGAATACACTGTGCTTTATCACTGAGCAATTTACATCGCTTTTAAATCAATTTTAGAAATTTAAATTTCACTTTGTAGCCAACTTATTGCTAAAAATATCACTTTAGGCTCATAATTTAAATATCGTAAAAAAATGCCCGCTGCTGCAGCCAATCAGATTGCAAGAAATCAAAAAATATCGCTTCGTTTGCATAAATGAAAAAACGAATTGAAATATTTTCGTGAAATTTGGTAAAAATAAGGCTCTTAATTTCATACATGAACATCGTAAGTTCACTTTTGTATAACCTTTTCCTATTTTTTGTCCGTATAATAACGTTCGGTATATGCCACACTACGACTTTGAAAAAAAATACAAAGAAAAATTTTTACGATGAACTTTAGAACTTCAACAGGCTTCATTTGCTGATAAAATGTAGCCATCTACCTTAGATAGACTAGTTAAATTCTTCGCTTTGGTCTTTTGTCTATATTTTGCAGGAATCTCTCTTATAGGTTTTGATAGTAAAACATTTGTCACAGAGCATTTATAAAAACTTACAATAGAAAATAATCGTCGAACAAAAATCCCATGTACGTTTTCTACAATCGTAATCGCCTGGGATATTATAGCATGGGTAACAAAGGCAACAAATAGAATACTTGTATTCGTTGGTATCAAATGCCTGTTTTTTAAAGGCTTACCCCTATCCAGACACACAGAATGAAGTTTCAAAATCCCCTCGCAAATTTTCATGGCGTAACTATAATTTGAAATATTTTGGCAAAAAAGCATGCCATTGTTGAATACATTAAATTGCCATTACTTTACAGGAGCGTGATTTCTGTGTTGCAATCATTGAGTACGAGTGTGATTGAAGTTTTAGAATACGGGAAAAATTCAGTAAATTCACACAAAAATACTCATTCATCATATATCATTCACCATTTGTATCATATATGAAACATATCACCTTGTATACATCAAAAGTGTTGAGACTACTATTACAAAAAAAGTTTTAGAATCACTTGACCAACATTTTTTTAAGTCAGGGTCAGGCCGACTTTATAAAGGTTTTGTAAATTCCACTGACGGGTAGCTAATGTAATCAAAACTAATATTACTATGGACAATATTGTTTCCTTTACATTGATTTCAAAATGATTGCCTACTCGATGGTACTCTATAAACTAAAATATTTTTTATATTAAACGGAAATCTCAGGGAGGTAGTAGATCAGAGAGGATCTCCCCCATAGATGATTTTTGTGAGAAATTTTAAAGTTATAAGGAAATATAACAACAACTAATTGTTCTTAAATTCAGGGGAAAATGCTGCAACAAGAGTAATTCAATTGAAAATTCAATACTAAACCTACTATATCTCCAATCTAATTTTTTTTTATGTGCTTGCTGTTGTCATTGTTGATTGAGTGATAAACTTTATTTAAAAAAATTAATCAGCCTTTTCAGCAATAGCTACATGAAAAATACCAATTGCACTTTTGCTCTAAACATAATTTTTTGACCATATGTGTTAACTCAAAGTACAGATGACATTTTAAACCAGCAACCTAAGAATATTATAAACAATGACGTGGCCTTTAGTTAAGAAATAAAAGTTGTTTAATGTATTTGCACAGGCTTATGCCATCCCAGAGGAGACCTTGGGAAGTTAGAGCTTGAGAGCTGATCGAGAATTTGAAAGTTCTCACAAAACGTCTCTAAGGTTTGCATAAGCCAGTGCAAACACGTAAACATCATTTATTTCTTTTATAAAGCAACAATAAAGTGAAACAGACAAATTGAGAACAGACGTTTTAACGTTACCCCTAAAATGTATTTATGATCGATTTGCAATTTGATTGATTTGATTGGATGAAATTCATATCTGTTTTGCACAGACTATAGAAAACACAGCTATTGACCAATCAGAACCACATTTCACTGTCTTTACTTATAAATTGAATTCTAATTAAGTGAATGCCAACTTTATGTTGGTTTCACATAAAATGATCACTTTAAACCAGCTTAAGTCAGTTTTAATGTAACATAAACCACTAGTTGTTATTTATTTAGCTTTTAATTCACTTAATCAGCAGAGATTTTCGAGAAACGCCCTTCTTGAGTTAGCTAATAATTTGTGCATTTGAACACAAGACCTTGTCAAGCATTTCCCATATTTTAATAGTTCAAGCAGTTTTCAAAGAATTTTTATGAAGTCACGTAAGCTTGCAACATAAGTTAAAAGATCTAGAAAGACCAACTTACTGATACATTTCTTTTTGGATTTGTCAAGTTTGTATCCAATGGAGCATTGGCATTCGTAGGAGCCTGGGATATTTATGCATGAGTGATCTTTGCCACAAGGAGAAGACTGACATTCGCCGATATCTAATGTTTCACAATAAAGTTGTTTGAAAATATGTACCATAAATTAAGCAATTTTATTCTATGTCTAATTTAAAGATGTGTAATAAATAAATATGAAATTTTTTGTTTAATTTTTTACGTTTGAATATTTCTTAATTGATTTTACGAGAATGTAAAATTATAATTGTCCTAAAATTTTAATACATGTATTTTATATGAACAAATCAACATCTAAAACGTCAAATAAATTCTGTAACAAATGAGATCTGTGATTTTTGGGACTGTATGTACTAGTAATTTATTTGTAAATCCAACACAGCTTTATAGATTCGTTTAGACAAATATTTTTGTAAATCATACAGACTACGTTCGATTTTTGAAAACAAGAATGAGTCTATTAACAGAATACATTAATTAACGATCATTTACTGTACACGATAGAAGATTGCTCACCAAGGGCTACAAGCAGAACCACACATAAAGAAAGTTATATCTGGTAGTGGGATTGATAAGGCGGCATTTATGATATAAATCAAACCTAGTTCTTACATAGGTAATAGGACTATGAATTATAAAGTGTGACGTGTACCCATGACGGTTGCTATTTGGAATTATTTTCATCATTAATAAAAAAAACTAAAAAATACTCAGCCAACAAAGCAATGAGATTAGCTTTGGAAAAATTCACACAACAGGGGCATGTTAATTATTTATCCTGTCATTGCAAGTATCGGAAATTTTGAGTTTGTTAATTCAAGATGTTGGATTATATTTGCAAAAGAAAATGCATCGACAACAAATTATATGATATTAAAGCACATCATCTATACCAAACAAGCTCGACGGTTTACCCGCAATAAATCCTTTGAAAATATTTTTTACAAGAAGTGGAAAAATCATATTTGATCCAAGCATGTCGTCATTGATATGCATATCTTGGTATGAATAACAGCGGTATTTGGAGACGTTGCGTCTTGCCGTAAACTTTTAAAAAATATAATTCAATCAAGCCTTATTCATTGTTCCATCAAGCATTGTTCATTTTCAAATTTATTGTTTTCTAAGTAAATAAACACAGAAAACCAACAAAACAAGACTAAATACAAGCAGGTTGGCTACGACCAGGTCCAAAACTAGAACGTTGATTGAGGGGTGTTAAATATTCATATATGTGCGAATATTCATGTTTTGTGACCTAATGTGCTCAGCAGTAGGGCGTGACAGACAAAGAAGTTATGTAAATAGGAATGGCTAAGAAGGTATGGCATTTTCATTATTGCCTAAAAGCAGGTCTTTGAATTTATATAAGTTTGGGGAGGCTTCATCTAAGGTTCCGTTTTTGACACATTTACTCGGGCAAAGACTATTACTAAACATAACTCTCAATTATCTTTGATATTTAAGTGACCATTCCCTGCATACCAGCTCTTTATTGATTTGAAATCTTAAGTATGAACCAAGATATACTTGCAATTTTTCAGATTGGCCAAATTTGGTACCACATTAATTTTAGTTGAATATGTTAAACTATTTTTGGGGATAAGAGAATTATTTGTCTTTACCCATTAACATTTCACCTTGGGCCATTGATTGAATTACTCTTAGTTGCACAAAAAGTTCAGAATTCGCTTTTAGTGTTCAACAATCTGCTACATGGTCGAATGAGTTATTTAGTTCTAACATTTGTTTGGCAGGAAAACAATAACTAAAGAATGCAACCATTTTACTACAAAATAGTACATTTGTGTAAAGTACCTAATGTATTGATAATTATAGAAGCTACTCACAGTTTAAATTACGTCTCTCACGTTGACAGATGAAGTTAAAGGGACGCCCACATCTAACAAAATTCCACTTGTAAAATTTATATACAACGCATTTCTCTATGCGAAATATTTGGCAATTAGGTCCTCCAGGATAACATAATGTAAAACTGGGCTTGCCATTTTGAGCTGTGAGGCTTTCTTTGCGATACAAACCAATAAAATGACGTTTATTGCCTTTTCTTAAGATGATTCTGTAAATGGCATTCCTCTCAGCATTATTCTGTGGAACAGCAAGATCTCCTCCTTTCTGTTGACAAAGCTTTCTTGCTTTTTTCCATGTTGCTGCTTTTGTACTGAAGAAATAACAAGATGATCCTATATGCAACCAATCAGAAGGACAGCTTGCTAGACGAATGAAAAAATAAATAAGACAACAATAACAAGTAATTATTTTCAGAATGATTTGTACGAATAGAATAGAATATTTAATATGCACTTTTAAAATGTAAAAGCTGATTAAAAATGCTTAAACAGGCAGGGTTGTGTTTTGCAGACAGATGTTGTTTAAAACAAGTCTTTCAATACCTAAAGGTTTTTTAAGAATGAGGAGGGTATTTGAGCTGGTTTTGTAGAGTAGCCACAAGTTGCAGAGTAAAGTATAATAAAGTACAATTCTTAAAAACATTGTATAGAAATTGTAAATGAAATATAAGAAATTTATTGTGAAGCTTATGTAGTCCGGCTAACACTTGACATTTTAATCATAAGGGGAATCCTTTGTGCCTAAATGGATGGTTATAATAATCGTTAAGTAATGATGTGGATTTGTTATGTATTTATATTGTGCATACTAAACTGTCTGTTTTAGACTAAAAACTAATTTATTCCAGAATGTTTTAATGGAGAAAGAAATACTAAAATAAGGAAATCATAACATCAAAAATGTGCATGAGCTTGAGGTAAGCTGTGATATATAGCTCATTTTTACGCCCATTTCAAATAATATTCCTAATTTTCCAGATTAAAGTCAATTTCATTGTAATGTGTGCTTACATGAAATTTTTTTATGTCTGAATAAAAAATTCCAGTCTAACTCTAATAGCGTTAAATTGAATAGTAAGAAAGTCATTTGAAATTTTATTAAACCCAGTAGAAATTTAATGCCATTTGGTGTATCTAGGTTAGCAGGGCCATAGCTAGATTAATAACTTCAGGAGGAGTGTTAAACCTAACCTCAACCCTTACCCTAACCCTAACACTACACCCTCCTTATTGTAGAGAAAATCAAAATGTGTTATTGCTAACATATGCTATTGTCATTTAGAGATCCATACACTTTCAATGTAGTGTGCTGAGGGAGTTTTAAGTGTAATAAAGCTTTTCATAAATTTATTACTGATTTCCTGCTTGATATTATTGATAATGATGAACTTGTATGTTTGGCTGTGAGCCTTATTTTGTGGTTACATGTAAAATGTAGATGCAGCAAATTCCTGGAAAAGAAGCAACAGCACAGAGAACAGCTCAGGATTCTCAACAAAGAACAAAGTTTTAAAACTGCACAGAGATGCTCTTTATTCATGATCGGTGATGAAAAATATTGATAAAGACAGTAATAAATCCATACCTTTGCACGAGTTACATTCTCCTGAGTATCCTTCCATACACGTGCAGTTCAATGTTCCATTAATTTTACGATAGTATGTGTTGGGTCCACACAAAGGAAAGTGAAAAGTGCTTGTCGCTATATCGATCAATAAAATTAAAAATAAAATTAACCAGGGATTTTAAACGAAACATATTCTTCCTCAAAGAACACAATTTGTCACTCAGTATCCACGTTGACGTACCCAGCAAGCAAGTTTGTTATGCAATGTTGGTAATTTTGGTGTTCGCGCATTTCATAAAAACAAAACAATTAAATAAATGTTGAAAATTTACAGAGTATGAACAAATTTGCTGGCTGTTTGGGACACTATAAAGGATATACTAAAGAAGTTAGATAATTGAAAAATGTTCAGAAAATTATCAATTCATCAGTAGTTCTCACAAAACGTGTCAAAGCTCATGTATTTTGGCATGGCTTTGCCTTGTTTATTTAAAATAAAATAAATAAAAAATTAATCTCGAAAACCATGAGATTACTTCGTGATCGCCTCAAATTGAACAGCATGCACAAAGAAAATGAAAACTTTCAAATTTAGTTTAATCCTAAAATGTAAAAGTTTAAACTCTGTTTTGCAATATACTGAAATTTTAAGAAATTTGATAAACATTAAGCTCACTGCACAACATGCTCAATTTGGACGTTTTTGTCTTACAATCTATTTTCATGATTTTTTTTTATTTAAGACTGATTTCAAGCCCAAGTGATTGTTTAAATGATGTAAGAAACAATAAAGACTTAAATTTAACACCCAAGAAGTTTGATAAGAATAGACAAACGGCAAAAATGTCCAAATTAGACACTTTGCACTTTGAACTTAATGTTCATCAAATTTTCTATAATTTTGGAAGGAAGAACAACCGTTTACTAAGGCAATGTAACTTTGAACTTTTTAACGTCTTTCTATTTTATGAACATTAGCGTGGGAGTTTTTGCAAGTCTTAGATTATTATGTCAAATTAGTAAATATTTAACTACCGTTTGAGTCAGGAGTGATACTGTGTACAGCTACATCAAAATAATCGTTGTTAACAGGAAGAAAATATTTGCGTCTCGTACGTTGATCTGTTGTGTTATGGACACTAACGACACTTTGTCCAACACTAGTCATGATATAAATGAAATCCCCAAATACTGCCATGGGACCTCCTGAAGTTCCAAAATCGATTACATTATGGGAGTAGTAATCACAAGAAAAAACACTTCCGTTTGAAACTCGCCAATAAATCTTCTCTTTAGCCATGTCAAGCGTTAGATCAAGTGCTATTGACTGAAGTGAAACTGAAAAAATATGATGTTTATTTGCAGCCATGCTCCATAACCATAAGAAAAGTTCTGTACTTTCTGCCAAGAATAGATACCTTAATAAAAATATTTGTTTTGTACATTAGTTTTCTCTATACGTACTGAAATACATAAACAATTGGCAGGCTAATATATGCAAGAAAGGAAAGATAGAATACCTTTTTAGTTTAGACAAAGATGTTGTCAAAGTATTCAGAACTACCTTCATATGTAGACGGTTTAATGGAACATATTCATGAAATTTGATAATATAGCAACATAAAGCTATTGTAACTAATAGGAAAAGATCACCTTTATCATTTGAAATCTCTCTTTTAAAATCTTAGCTGAAATATATGAAGTAATTAAACATTGCATGTGGTTCAGAACATACTAATAAATGTAATACGTTATTTTATTCACATAACTTCTATAATGATTGGTATTGTTTGAGATTATTGTCGGAATGAGTAATGCTGTAGTTTGGAGTGGCTGCTGAATGAATTGTGTTGGTAATTGATAATGCTGAAAATTAGCTGATGCGTGGAATTTTTGTTCGAATTGAAAATTTGGTGTTGGTAAATGATATGCACCATTTAATGTAGATATAAAATTAAGAAAGCTTTGTAATTTCAATTTTAAGCTTTCTTAATTTTCAGTTTCATCTTGCATGAAAAGTAGCAGCTCCTTGGATGGATCATCGTCCACAAATGTCTTTAAAAGAGCTATAGCTTCAAAAACATTGTCTTTTGTTGATACTTTTTTTCAGTTTGTTTGGACAAACGATTTTTTATAACTATCTTAACCTTCTCTTTTTAATTGTCAAATTTTTTATTGTTTTTCTGAAAAATCAGAAAAAGATTGACACTGGAGCTAGCGCTATTGGTATCATTTAAAAATGATGATTCTATCGCCATGTCATGTTCGTGTTTTTAAGAATCTTTGGATTGGACAAGCTGCAAAAACTGCTTGAACACTATGGCCTTTACTTTATCGAAAATGTTTGATGCAACTGGCAGTTTTGATTATCATCGCAGCATATTTGCATTCTCCAATACATTTCTTAAATATATTACGCATTTGAGTAACAGCAAAGTCCATGTCTTCTTGTCCTTCATTGCACCTTGCCCCGAACTCTTTAAAAACTTTCTCGTATATATTACCGTTGTTTTGGCTTTTTGTGTTCGTGAAACTTAATTTTTTCTTGTAATATGATAACAATTAATGCCTAACATAAAGTTTTAAGTAGAGCTATAGAAATAGACCAAAAGCTGTAAAATTGAATTTATACTGACGTTTCGTCTATACTCAAGACATATTCAGGCAAGTAATAATTTATAATGAGATTTTAAGACAAGATATTTTTTTTACAAAAGGTGTTAAATTACGACTAAAGGAGGTGGTGTCAAATGGATTACATGATAAAGAAGTTGGGAAGTAAAATTTAGTGAAGTTAAGAGAGGTTAAGTGGAATGGAACCTCCTTGCACGAAGAGTGAAGGCTTGTATTTATTGATTAGAAGGCTCTCATGAATGGAGAGTTCATAGGAATCGTTAGAAGAGGAAATTATTTTAAAGTCGTAAATTATTTATAACATATTCAGAAAGTTCTCGCTCCACAAGGCTTTTAAGCCAATTTCTTTTTAATCACATGATTATTATCTTCAGATTCATCATCAGTGGAGCAGCTACAGACCTAACGTTTGCCTAAGCTACACTAAGAAACACTGCATGAAATAAAGGTAGTGGAATGATTTTCCATTCAGGTGATTTGATTGGATGTGTGATTGGACTTATTAAAGGGAAGTGTGCAGCCACTTAATTTGCAGCTCTCGACTTTTCAATATACTCTGCCATTCAATGCAAGTTAAAAGAAGGCTTGAAAAACTATAAACTTGATATATTGATTATGTTTTTTTAAATTGCCACATTTTTGAAAACTAAAATCCATTTTTTTTCATGTAACTACGTTGGAATGTGTGTAGTTCTTTTATCTTCATTACAAAACGAAAAGTTGAAGTTTTTACGTTCACCACATTCGTGAATATTTTAAAACTTTATTGCCATTCCGTAATGAGATTGTTGCACATCTCTTACACTGCCTCAAAAAGTATACAAAAGAGCACAGTATAGCAATAAACAATGCTCCCAATTTGTTGAAATCTTTTGTGTAGGGCATATCTTATTAAGCATATGATTACCATGGAGGCGTCAAGCAAATTGCTTTTTCTGACGAAGAAAAGCGCTCTTAGGTGGCTAGCCAAAGCCAGTAATGGAATTAAATGTACAACATTAAGTTGCACAGTGAAGTTGTACTTCTTTTTTGTAGGTTGTGGAAAGCCAAGGTTCTGTGAGTATTTGACTAAAGTTTTATGTGCAAAGTAATTATTTAATATTTTATTTCAGTTTCTACCGCTCTGTTTTATTTCATTTAATGACTTCGTCATATATAAACATTGATCCCTCCGTTGTTACCTTTTTTCTAAAAGCTCTTTGGTTGCTCAACATAAATATCGCTGTCGATTTTTGCAATTTCAGGATCTGCATGTTATTTTCTACTGCATGTGTGCTGAATAATTACACGAAACGTGTTCATTATTGTAGTTGGTTTGAAATTCCTTATAGTCACGCAATAAAATATTGCTGGCCAAATCTCTCCGAAAGACGTTGATTTTAATAAAAATCTGTCGAACTATATGACGTTTGTTTCTTTATAGCCAACAAAATACTTAAAGATATGATCTCTTCATGAAATTTCATTCGAACAATGACTGCGGTCAGCTCAGTTTCAGAACTAAAAATTGATTTTTGAATTTTCATTCATGACAATTTAAAAATCATATCTTCATTTAATTTCCACTGCATAAAACATTATCATAAAATACTTAATATTTTCCTCGGGAAAAAAGTTTTGATTTCCTGGAAAATCGAATTTTTCTATTATTACCCTTTAAATAACAAACCATAATACGGACTTATAAAATTCAACTTTTCTATTAAATTAAAACACCGTCTCTAAAAACAAAACTCTTACCTTACTTAAGAAAACCCTCCAATAGATTGACATAGTTTATTAATTTTACGCTTACAAGTAAATAAAAGAATTTCAATATCGCCTTACCCATGTTTTGAGTCAAATGCAATGCTGGAAAATTGTAAGCCTGGTTGAAGCCTCATAACACTTGTAATTTTCTTTTCAAATAAATTTGGTAGATAATGTTCGTGGAGTCAATGTAAAAGATACGACGACCAATCCAG